GACCTGTCATCTACACTAGAGTCTTCATTGTATCGTTTGATGGTACGATAAACGAATCTTTTGGTTATATTCAAAATTTTCAGTATGTTAAAAATTTGAATTGGCGCGTAACCGCAACGATGCAACGCAATAACTGCAACACGGTCTTCTTTAAGCGTCCACTCCATATTTAAAAATGAGTAAAATTCTAAAAGTATACCTTTTTTATTTTCATGAACAATTCGAAATTCGAATTCAACAAACTTTTTTGTGGCCAGCATTCTAAAAGAAAAGTTTTTACTGTGTGACAATACTTATGACCTGACTAGTTATATATATTTATATAATATAAAATATATATATAATATAAATGTTGAAGATGTCGCATCTCTTATACACATCATGCCATATTACAAGAACAATCTGATTTAAGGATGAAAAAAACGAAGAAAACCACAATACTACACATCGAAATAGAAGTTTAACTTCATTCACGTGCACAAAGTTGCACGCGCACCGTTTTTTATTTATTAGCACATACATGTGTCATCTGTTATAATCGAAGTAAGGACTGACCTTCGTAGAACTTGGTGAAGAGCATATCGACGTGAGCCCTGTTCCCAGGCACGCGGTAGAGTCCCTCGGAGCCCAGCCCTTCGCGCTCTATGAACTCTATGCACTTTTCTACGAACAGCGGAACGCCGTGCCCGCCCTGAGGGGTAGAGAGCGCTCATTGTCAGTCACTGTGCCGTTGATACAATACGATAAGTCGAGTCCGAAGATCCGACGCCGGTAATAATGAAGTCATCAGGATATAAACCTCATATAATACAAGCTTTTTTTTGAATTCTTTATTAGAGCAAATTAGGTTAAGTCGGCTATATCATAAAGCTTTATATCTAAAAATTAATTAAGTAAGGCGAGTTAATGACCGCCAATTACATGCTACCATATGTTAAATTCGGTATTAGATAGATTAACTATCATTATGTTTAAGGGAGACATGAAAAGTTGGATCAGTAAATTACGTAACGTTACACAGAAAGAGTAATAGTATCAGAATTGGATTGGTTATGTTCGTTAAAATAACAAAGCCAATTATAATGCGCTTAATATAAATATATATGTAAAAATTGAAACTGAAAAACTTCAAACCGAAGAGATATAAAAATATATCCCAGAATAGATACCATATAGAAACTGAAGAAGAAATAAAATGGGTCATTGCTTAAAATAATACATTTCTTCTACTCCATGTACTCATCCATCGATACTGACATCAATGAACGCCTCCCATATAAGCAGGGAACAGGACTTTAGATTTCCCCCTACCCGCCGTGCTACCCTAGCTAAGGCCATTTACCTGCGGACCCCAATTCTGAATTGACGCTGCATTAGCTGCTTGTGATGAGTTCTTCTTGTCCTTACTCTTCGAGAATTCCTGTTGGACAAAGTACTGTACTTTAAAAAACAATAAATCCTTGTTGATCTGGTTAACAAAATAAAAAACCGTTGGGAGGTACCTCTAAATCGTCGCAACTTTATCACTGATACAGAACGCAATTTGACCGCCGACAAAAATTGGCAAGAAATTTTCTTTTGTCAAACATAAGTATGTACATTACTGGACAATATTTTTTTTAATTATTACAAAATTTTAATGAGAATGACTATAAATAGAAAACTGGAGACACAGAGGTGATCAGGTCATTCAACATATACTGGTGGTAGGACGATTTGTGAGTCCGCGCGTTTAGGTACCACCACCCCGCTTATTTCTGCCGTGAAGTAGTAATGCGTTTCGGCTTGAAGGGTGGGGCAGCCGTTGTAACTATAACTGAGACCTTAGAACATATCTCAAGGTGGGTGGCGCATTTCTGTTGTAGATGTCTATGGGCTCCAGTAACCACTTAACAACCGGTGGGCTGCGAGCTCGTCCACCCATCGAAGCAATAAAAAAAAGGTGATCCATTCTTTTTTTTTACCATCGAAGCCCCCGCCATCGGAACAATGTTCACTCTAGAACCTTGGCGTTGATACCCAGGCGCTTTCCCAAAGAACTTTTTCGCCACGCATCATCCCTCTTCTTAAAGGAAATTAGAAAGACATTTCTGTGCTATAAGCAGCGAAATGGCTATGCTTGTGATCGACACCACCACGCGGGCCGTATAGTCTACATTCGCCTGCATTCGCTGTCATTAAGTGGACTTTTTGGCGGGAACGCGTGGAGTGAAGTTGTGTGATTTGTTTTATTTTGTCTAGCGGGTTTAAATGTAATAACGGTGGTTTATTAACTGTTTAATATCTGTGAAAGTGCACAAATGTGGGGAAAAAAAAACAAAGCTGCTGGACGTAACTTCTCGGGATCCTTCAAAAAGTCCACTGAAAAAATTTCTTAAATGATCTCTATTTTACTGAGATCATCCCATACATAATCTCATCTCATTTCATTTCATTTCACTCCATATTATCATTTTTCATAAAAATAAGAATATAAATTAAAATAAGACATGACCTAAAGGTCTTAGTCACCAGGTCATAAAATATCTTTAAAAAAAAAAGCTGTCAATAAGTGAATATCGTGACGGATGACATTAGATCACCTTGTGCCTCCTGTCGTGTTTGCCGAAGGGGTGAGGTCTGCGGCGCGGGTCCGGCGCGCTGGCCGTACAGTTCTCCTGTATCGACGCCGGGTACTCGCCGGCAAGTATCTTAAACAAATTCGTCATTTATATAATAATATATAAAAATGAATTGCTGTTCGTTAGTCTCGCTAAAACTCGAGAACGACTGGACCGATTTGGCTAATTTTGGTCTTGAATTATTTGTGAAAGTCCAGAGAAGGTTTAAAAGGTAAATAAATATGAAAATGCTCGGAATTAAATAAAAATAACAATTTTATTTTTCCTTTGATGTGTCCCCCGTCGGACGGATTCCTTTTGTTTATTTTAAGTTTATTTTATACAAAAGTTCAGGTCTTTTATTTATCGATTGAGGCACTACGAAGTCTGCCAGGTGAGCTAATTTTGAATATTATATTCGCTCGCTACGTACACTACGTTTGCTGAGTGCAAATATCATTTAAATTGCAATCGATATCAGATTTAGGTACTATTTGTAAGATTTAGTTAATATGTAATGATTGTGAAATTTGTTTTGTGCAGCAATAAATAAATATAACAAAAAAAATGGTTGCCAAGTGATCGTTCAGTAATTCCCACTCTATGAGGCTTATTAACTTTTGCAATAAATTATCTTTGTAGTCGATAATGAAGTCTTCTTTCTTTTACCTTACCTTATCCCTTAGGTCGGGACCTAGGGGATAAGGTGGAGAAAGTAGAGGTAGAGGAAGGCAGAGGAGCGAATTTTTCTAATCCATTCTCTTCTATGAGCCGCCTTCTCTCTCTCTCATATCGTCATTCACATACTCTATCCATGTCCTCTTCGACCGACCTCTTTCCCCTCTACCTTACACCACCATTTCCATACATCTCCTAGTCACATGCATCGATAATGAAGTAACATAACCAATGCGGCCTACACACGACCCTAAGATCAGCTGCGATATCGGGAAAGTGGTGGGGAGGACCTTAAATCGTACCCTAAATCACCTCGTGTATAGGCAAATCGTAACCCGATTTTTATTGTTTACCCTATACTCCTATACCCTCCATCCAGCTATGAAATGAGCTCCCCATCTACGGTGTTTCCCGAGCGCTATGACATGTCCTTCTTCAAACGAGGCTTGTGGAGTATTAAGCGGTAGGCAGCGGCTTGGCTCTGTCCCTAGCATTGCTGAAGTCCATGGGCGACGGTAACCACTCACCATCAGGTATGCTCGTCTGTCTACAAGGGCAATAAAAAAACTCTAAAATCGCTTCGGGCGAGCTAATCATTTAGGGACAATTATCCCCATCACCGCTGTCCTGATATCGCCACTGATTTTAGGGTTGTCGGTAGGCCGCATAATAGTGCGACTAGGGTTGTCACGCTGCACGTGGGGGCGCGCGCGGTACCTTGTGGGTGGGCTCGTGGTGCGGGGGCGGCGGCAGCGGGCGCACCCGCCGCGTGTCCGCGTCCGAGCTGCCGTCGCTAGACTCGCTGGCGGCTGTACGGGGACACACACACAAACTTTAAGCATCGATGTTAAATTTTAAAAAAAGATCGGGGAAGAACATTTAATTTTAATGAAATCAAGATTTATTATAAAATCAGGTCAAGAATTTACATTGTTAAATGAAGGAATAACAAAAGTGAAAAGCTATTTGGTTTAAACGACATTTCGCTTAATACTTTTTACTGGTGGTAGGACCTCTTGCAAGTCCGCACGGGTAGGTACCACCGCCCTGCCTATTTTGCCGTGAAGCAGTAATGCGTTTCGGTCTGAAGGGTGGGGCAGCCGTTGTATCTATACTGAGACCTTAGAACTTATATCTCAAGGTGGGTGGCGCATTTACGTTGTAGATGTCTATGGGCTCCAGTAACCATTTAACACCAGATGGGCTGTGAGCTCGTCCACACATCTAAGAAATAAAAATAAATAAATAAAAACGCGATATTTATGTTTGTAATTAAAAAGAACCGTTTTATTTCGTATTAGTATCAACAATTCGATGTTATTAATTGAAATTTAATTAAATTTACCCTATTCAAACAGCTAAAGAAATTTTTTATTATATTTCTTTCTGAATTTTAAACTTTAAATGGCTCTCCTGTAGAGTTGTAACAATGTCGACATCGATACATAACTATTACTCTAGTGGAGGAGGAAATTAAAATATTACAAATCGATTTACCCTTGTCCTCTTGCGTTCTACCTCTGTAGCCGGTGGGCAGCTCCGGCGGCCCTACGAACATGCCGAGCTTCGGGACTCGCGGGCTTTGGACCGCCACCAGGTTACCTAAGGACCTGCAAGAGATGTTGTAGACGTTTTGTTACTTATTTGTACAACACCATCCTATTCGTCCCACGAGATTGCCATTGATTACCGATATCCAAGAAAGGGATTGTGGTAATGACAGTGCAACTGCGACTGCCCATCCGAGCTAATAATGAAATGCTTACTATAGATTCCCACTATTGTCCAAGAGATGGCTCTCGCTGTCACTAACAGTGTTTCCACTTTAATGATTTCCTTTCCCCACGCCTCACTTCAAATTTACCCTTCTCAGGGCTTTTTTCCCCTCAAAAAATTTTCTGCTGTAGCTTTTACTTTTGGCTTTAGTGCAGTAACTAAAAGAAAAGGTCTTTGTCGATTTTAGGTTTATTTTAGGTTTTACCCATGATTTCCCGCAATTTCCGCTTTTAATGTCTTCCCCTTTTTCTCCCCCTATGGACCCTAATTTTCCCCTCAAATGGGGAAATTCCCCTCATTGTGGAAACATTGATCACTAACCAATCGTCTAGAGTGTACTACTAATAATAGTAGTGCAAAATTATAAAAATCTCACCAGGCAATCAACTGTAGTTATACATAATTACATTATGATTGTTAATAAAAATATGATCTTATGATAAACCTAATAGTATAAATATAATGAGTTATTGCTACTATACGGTAGCACAAATCAGTTCTATTGCCTGTACTTATTCCTACACCGGAAAATAAACAACGGTGAGGGGGGTTCCAATTAAATTTAAATTTGAGCCTTGTAGATCAGCAACGGTTTTCGTGATGTGAGGCATTTTTTTTTTTAATACTTATATTATTGAAATATTGCGCAGAGCAGACTCGTACCGTTTCTTGTAGTGTCGCGGCGCGTGGTGCGCGGCGTGGCGGCGGCGGGCGGGCGCGCGTCCGGCCCCTGACGCGTCACTGGAGCCGGAACTGTCCGTCTCCGAGAACGCTGTCAATCAAAAAGTACACATTTAAAGCCGAAACTTAATACTTTCTAGAATTTGTGCGGATTCTTAGACAGCGACTTGGCTGTGCTTCTGATGTTTCTGATGCCCGTGTATGAACGGTGACTCTTTATAGCCAAGTTGGCTGTATGCCAGTCACGCTACAAAAGCAATTAAGAAAAAATCATACTTCATGACTGTAGGGACTTATTATAGTGAGTAAGCCGTACATAGCCCGCCCGACTTTGATGACAATATACGCGAGTGATTTTGGAATTAACTAGTTTTATTTACCTAAGGCAGCTACAAACTTACATCACTTACAAACCGCACGATAACGGTCATGTTTAAACGAATTTAGCAACACAAGCGACCACGAGAAATATACAGGGATATTTTTATATTATATAGTCTTCGAACAATTATCGCGTTGGTCATATATCGAAAATAATATACACGAGATTACACTGTAGAAATAATTAAAAATTACGTTACATGCAAATTACAGTAAAAAAGTAATTACAAACTGCCGTTCGTGAAAACCAAAGTACATACTGAATATTTATTTGTAAAATGAAGTGTTTTTTTTATCATTTTAAGGACTCAACTAACATGGTTGGTGCAGCGGTGTCTTCTCGTGTCTCCGATGTCTCCTCAAGCGCGTCATAGATGGCGCCTCCATATACTCGTTCGTTTCTTTAATCTGTGGTCAGTAAAAAGGAATAGAACTTTTTAGCGGGAACGCGAGGAGTGAAGTTGTGTGATTTGTTTTATTTTGTCTATTTAGTGTTTCTTCAGGTTTAAATGTATAATAACGGTGGTTTATTAACTGTTTAGTATCTGTGAAAGTGCACAAACGTGGGAAAATGAATCAAAGCCGCTGGACGTAACTTCTCGGGATCCTCCAAAAAGTCCCCTGAAAAAGTCTCAGTAAATGACCACCATTTTACTGAGATTATATTTCATCCCATATCATCTCATCTCATTTCATGTCATTTCATCTCAGTTGTTAGTTTAAATTAATATAGGAGACAGACTTAGTTTTAAGTGTCTAAGGAATCCTATACATCTTACACCCGGAGATCTAAGTTTGAATTACTTAACAAAGGTTATCCTACTCCTCAAAGATAGGCAGAGATAGAGGCAGAGATAGGCAAAGGGTAAGTTTAGGACATGTCGTCTGTCATCAAACCTTTTTTTTATGATTGAAGTATTACTGGTGGCCCGGAGGCCTTTCCGGTTTCACCAGGACAGATGGGCGAGCAAGGCTCAGCCAGGAGGGGTGGGATTTGCTAACAGCTGCCCGAGCGCTTCCGAAGAAGGTCATCAAACATACGTTTCGCCGAACATTACCTGCGCGTATTGAGCGTCCAGTTCAGTTTCCGAGCTGACTCCGGAGGGGTGGTGGTGGTGACCCTGCTGACCGCTCGAGTGTGACCAGCCGGAACGTTGAGACTGGAAGCACGCACACCTCGAGTCAACCCAATTTAGGTCTTAACGTACACCGAATTAGAACGCAAATGAATAAGCGTTAGGTTACCGTTACGAACACGAAAGAAAGAGACAGACTGAGACCGGACCGCGCTTATTATTAAAATCACTATCATATTGTATAGATTTAAGCAAAATATTAAAGAACATATGTGCAATAAAGCTTACTATAAAGTCAATGATTATCTAGAAGATTGCACAAATTAGGAATGAATTGCTCGCTCCGGGCATTTCAATGTTGTAAAAATTGTTACGTTATAATACTCATTGTAAAAATGAATATTAAAAAAAATCTAAGATTTTTTTTTTATCTAATATTTAAAAAAAAAGGACACGCCCGCTGAGTTTCTTGCCAATTCTTCTCAGGACGGAGGCTAGTTCTTGTGAATTGGCGGTAGTTTTATTTGACGTTCAACAAGTATGTACTTTCATCTATGTTGAATTTTTTTTTTTTTATTTCATTTGATCTATACTCCATGGCGACAGTCCAAACGATGTTCCAAAAAGACTTTATATAGGTTATCATACAGGTCGTTAGCGCGTTCCAGTTTCCGTCACATTTCTGACCGCTGTCCTCAGTGGCATTTATTATTAGTTTACGGTAAATGATTTTTACCTTCCTGTCTCGGGAGTGAGCCGGCGGACCTATTGTGATGTGTTGTAGAGCGTCGCTGACCATCGTGTAGTTGTTCATGTCCAATTTACCGGGTTGCTGCAGTGACAAGATTTTAGTTATTTTGTTGCGCTGAACGCGGTGAAATAAGGTTTATGGAGGAGGAGGGGGGGGGGAGATAACACAACGTCAAATATTTTTTATTGCTTTTTTACCGGTGCTCATGGATGTCAGCAATTCTAGAAGAGCAACCGAACCGCTATCAACTTTCAATCAATGTATGTAATGTCAAGCTACAAGTACGAATTACATTGTAGTAAAAACACTAAGCTCCTAGATACTAGAGCGTGTCAAAGCTTCGTTGTATTCGTATTAAAAACATTCACTTAAAAATAAAAATCAAAATTAAGTCTTTAATATTTTAATCACTTTCACTAGTTAGTATTTATAATAAAATAATTTTCTGCATCGAGTTCCTTGACGTCATGTAAATACCAAATAGCATTATTGTAATTTCAAAAGATTTGATTGGTTAGGGGGCGGGGCCTAGGCCGTCGAACAATGATGGCTCACTGCATTCTTAACGCGAACGAACTATACACCAAAATACGCTCAACAGTAATTTGTTTTTAATAATTAGATTAGATTAGTATGGTTGTAATTAATTGTGTAGCGTGAGTAACCTTGAGTGTCTGTGAGTGTCGAGGGCGCGGGGGCGGCGGGTGCGGGCGCGTGCGTCCCGTGGTGAAGGCGCGGTGCCCGTAGCCGGGCGGCTGCCACAACCCACCGCCATCTGTCGGACAACAACACCATTACTTCACACCGCCCTCATCAGATGACGTCTTGCAATGTTGCAAACGTAAAAAAATCATAAAACTACTTTTCTACTTGTATTGTGAAATTGTGAGTAAATAATAACGGTAATTATATAACGTTATTTAATACAGCAACGGCCTTGTGCAATAATAAATAAAGTAAAATACTCCAATATTCACTATGTAACAGTATTTTAAAAGACAATGTGTTTCTAACATCTAAGCCACTACAAAATTCTCACTACAATACCCTCTTTTTTTAAGACATGCAAAATTATTCCACATTATGACAAAATAAATAAACTTATAATATAAATAATTTAAAAAATACATAATTTATTAAATTAGAACACACAAACAATTTCACTAACAAAAAAAAAAACAAATATAACAAAAACAAAAAATAAAAACATTTTGAGATCAAACAAATAAATATAAAACATTACGATAATTTCTAATCTACACAATCCACTGTACAACTTCAAGGATAAGATTGTTTTTGCCATGCGCTTCACCTGACTCGTGTGTGCTCAGTGAATCTTCAGAACAGTTGAGATCCGCTGCATTATAATATCATTTATTAATACTTGTGATATACATATTAATACGCACTAAATACATTATAATTATGGTTCGTTGATCTAAAAATTTTTTGTTTATCATTTAAAATCTGTGTACATCAATTCACTTTTAAATTTTAGAATGTTAGACCACAAGGCCAAGAGGCAAAGAATGTCGTGTGGCACCAACCGCGGCAAAATGAAACCAAATTTCGTCAAATTATTGATTAATATAATCTAATTTAAACAAAATACAAAATTTTAAAAAATATATACATATTGTGAAATCAACAAAATTTTCGAGTTTTACTGCTTCTCATACTAAAAACATGATAACATATAAATATTTTCTGTACCTACATAATACAGATCCTACTTGAAAAGATGAGGTATTTCTCGTTTACGTATTTAATACCCCATAGTACGGGAACTCAAAATCTGACCCTGAAGTACTATGTCATTTAATGGCAACTCGAGACAACAGTGTTAAGATTCGTTCTGAAAAATAGTACTGATCCTGAGGGGTTTAACAAAATAAAATTTAAATGAAATGGGTATCAGATCTTTATGGACATTTATGGGCATAAGTACAGAAATAGGAAAAAAAATTAATTTCTCAAAAAAGTATTCCCGTGGAACAAAGCTCGAGGGCAAACGATACCAGTAGCAGAAGTAAATTTGAAATATATAAGTATTAACGACAAATTGTAAGACATGTATATGATCTTCAAACGATGTTGCTCTAAGCTTAAATTGATTAACGAAATCTACATTGACGCGAGGGAATCCACGAGCCAGAACTCATCATCTTAGGCCTTACAGCCCAGGGTGGGCCTATAGCCTGGTTCTATATGTCTCTCCAGACTGCTCTGTTCAGAACTTTCTGAGGTTCCTGACACCGATAACTTTGAGGTCGTGCTCAACGCCATACGTGTCAAAACCAATCACTACATAGTATATAAAACAAAGTCGCTTTCTCTGTCCCTATATCCCTATGTATGCTTAAATCTTTAAAACTACGCAACGGATTTTGATGGGGTTATTTTAATAGATACGAGTGATTGAAGAGGAAGGTTTATATGTATAACTAGCGACCCGCCCTCGCTTCGGTTCGGAAACATTAAATTTTATTATTGATAGGCGAGTCCCGCCATGTTGTGCCCGGTACGACAATAACTGCGGGTGATGCCGCGGGGCGAAGCTAGTCTAAAAAAAGTAGCCTAAGTTACTCCTTATATCATTAGCTATCTATTAGTGAAAGTTTCATCGAAATCGGTTCAGCCGTTCCAGAGATTAGCCGGAACAAACAAACAGACAGATAGACAGACAAAAATTGTAAAAAATGTTATTTTGGTGAATGTACCGTATATATATTCATATGCATGTAGTAAGAAGCGGTTATTTAAATATTACAAACAGACATTCTAATTTTATTTATATGTATAATAACATCCATTAAATAGTGGAGAAATCAATAATAAATTACAGTTTCCGAAGCGAAGCGAGGGCGGGTCGCTAGTATTTGAATATTTCATTTCAGTATCCGAGAGACTTACGAGACAAATCCGGGTGCATTCTGTGGTCCGGGGGCGCGGGTTCCGGCGGCGTGCTGGGAGGGGGGTACACGCTGAAACCTACATACAGATTTGTGATTACGATATTTGAGTCGTCTATTATCAAAGGTGGCAATCTGTGCATTTGGACAAAAAAAAATTATTGATATGACAATACAGATTGATTTGAATATAAACGTCTCCTTCAAAGAATACGGTTCAAAACCTGCACTAAATAAAGGTTAATAGTTAACCTGTTATTTATCTAAGATGTCGTTCCGAAGAGTTTTGTGACTGCCAATGGAATACAAAGTCAAAAATTCGTTTTTCTGATTTACCAATCATTGTCCAAAAGTCAGATTGCCGGCTTTGATAATAGTCGACTCATTTGTTCATATTTGAAAATCGATTTTAGTTCAAATGGTGAGCACTTACATTACTTGCTACACAGGTCGTGTTTCCTATTAACTTGATTGGAAAATCGATATTAGATTCCAATTAAGTAACAACTGCATGAAGCGTTAAAATTAAATTAAAACGTTTTTTACTTGCATAGTGAAGTGAGTGAATTCAGTCCTGTCCTTCAGTTCAACCTTGAGACTTGAGGTCTAAGTCTTAATTATCTTGTATAAGTCTCAACATTTACACCGGAACGCATTACTGCTCCGGAACAGAAATAGACAGGTTGGTAGTACCTACCCGAGCCGACTCACAAATTATATATTTAACAGGTTCGATTATGATTCCGGGACATTATTCGGCCGTGTAATGCATCCTTCAGTAGCTTTTTTTTTTCCTACGTAAGCTGATAGCCTTGAGAGGCTATTTCAGCCTATCCTTAACTAGTAGGTGAGCTCACGGGGCTCAAACCGGAATGATGCTAACACTGGCCCTAGCGAGAGCAGTGCTTCGCAGAATCTACCACCGGATCGGAAACGCGACCCACTGAGAAGATCCGGCGAGAAACTCAGTGGGCTGTGTCTCTGGGTTAAAGTACCTTTCAAGAATCCTCTGTTCTTGGAGTTGTTCAGGGTGTCGCTGTACTCAGAATCGATGTCGGCTCTCGAGTCGGGCCCGATGAGCAGATCCAACGAGTTCGTTAACTTGTGCTCCCTCCTGTAAATACACACATTGGTTTGTACGATACATCATGATCACGACACGATGTTTTCAACACGCTTTTAATAGTTTCCTCTATATGTATCTATCTATCTTTGTAACGAAACCTTTTATCTGAATGAACGTTAACTTGAAAATTTGCACACTAACTCACGACGGTATAATAATTTCATTACTTTGACTTAATAATAGGGGTAAAAATATGAAATTGCCCTTTTATTGTAATAGGTACTTCGAATTGACATGGAACCTTCACGGTTTGAGATTTTTGTGTGATACTTTTTTCAAATGGCACCTATGAGGTTCTTCTTTTAAAAAATGTGCAACATTCGATTATCGACTTTCAGTTGTTTTCTTCATTCGGATTAGGGTCGATTCGACCAAACAAGAGTAAATCTTATTCTTAGAATAACTCGTCAGTTAATCGAGAGTAAATCAATTTTACGTTTTACCATCTACAATTCTAAGAATAGAGGGCCTATTCGGGAATTGGTACTATACCGCCGTTTCACACGGAATAACGGAGCTATTCCTAAAATAATGTAATGGCGTCAGTCAGTCCAATCATCTGATTTCTGTCATTTCATAAATATTTATTCTGTTTTAATTTCATGTCAACGCAATGCACTAAATTATTATTAACTAGCGACCCGCCCTCGCTTCACTTCGGAAACATTAAAACACACATGAAACCAAAAAAAAAAAAAATTTTTTTTTAAAAAGTGGCCTATGTTCATCAGGGACAATGTCGGCTTCTAATGGAAAAAGAATTTTTCAAATCGATCCAGTAGTTTCGGAGCCTATTCGAAACAAACAAACAAACAAATCTTTCCTCTTTATAATATTAGTATAGATAGTCTGGCATTGTATAATGCAACTTTAAAAAAAAGATAAAACCACACGACAAAACTTGACAATTCCCTCAAACAAACAAGAAATAAAATTAATACGTTTGACAGCTAGATATATTGATAATGTATCGCACTGTTTATTTGTTTTTTGTTGTACAATAAAGAATACTCTCTCTCTCTCTCTATCTTACACTACAGCTACTTTTTCACACTAAAATACGGCAAAATCGAGTTGAATCTATGTATGCTCTTACACTATGCCGTTGTCAACAACATTTATTTGCCGGATTTTATTTTCGTTTACCATTCACTCTGCTATTCGCGTATTGCTATTCCCAGCGTAAGCATACTATCGTTTACGTGGAAAAATGCGTATGGATTTACTCGAGATTAAAATCATGGAATAGGTTATTCTTCGTATAGTTACTCGTGTATAAATTTAAATTTGGTCGAATCCACCCTTAGACAAGAAAGATGGATACTTCGAAAATTCGTTTGATTTTTGAATTCGAGAATTCCGACGCGGAACTAACGCTGCAGAAACCGCTCGCAATATCAATGTTGCGTTTGGAGAGGGGACTCCTTTTTTTTTTATTGCTTAGATGGTTGGACGAGCTCACAGCCCACATGGTGTTAAGTTGTTACCGGAGCCCATAGACATCTATAACCTAAATGTCGCTGCCAACCTAGAGATACGAGTTGTAAGGTCTCAGTATAGTTACAACGGCTGCTCCAACTTTCAAATCGAAACGCATTACTGCTTCACGGCAGAAATAGGCAGGGATTCCACTTAATATCCGGAAAGGTCACGGGCTTTAGATTTTTTTGGCGATTTTATGTAAAAAAAAATATAGCAAAAAAATTTAACATGGTTTGACTTAGTCTCAGCTCAAGGGTAAAGCGATCGCATATCTATTGTCTAGACTACAAGTTCAAGGATAAATGTATTATCGGTGGGGCACGCACGCGGGGTCGCAGCGAGCGGGCGCGCGCGCCGCGGCCACGTCGGGCAGGTTGTGCGCGGCGCCGGGCTGCTCCAGCCGGAAGGCGCGCTCGATCTCGCCCTTGCGCTCCCACACCTCCTTGAAGAACGACGTGTAGAACGCGGCTGCAAGGAAACAAGACAGATATTACTGCCACAGCTCCTAGTCGACGCGTGTCAAGTGAGCTGTATTATGTGTTCGTTTTATTACATAACGATGTCTGAGAGAATTTAATGTATTTATTACCACACGGACCAAACTTAAAAAAATAATATACATGTTGACTGCCATGTAGATCACCGGTGCCTTACATGGCGCACTGAAGTAATTATGTCTATTTCTGTTATTTACTAAGCGCCTGGATTGCCTAACTCTGCCTTCTTTTGTTTGTTTATGTATGTTTTAGTATTTTAGTTCTCTTAGAAACAGATTGTTTCTCTATATTCTCTGTATCTTCGCATTCGTCTTACCCAGAGTTACTACACATTCTACACTACACATTCTATTAGTTAAGAAGATCGAAAAGCGAAATCGAAAATAATAACTGCAGTACGTTATTTATTTATATTTATTTATTTATTTATCATCTTTATATAAAGACGATTTATAGAATTGGATTGAGCAGCGGAAACACACATCGTTTGTACTATTACTTTTATAAAATAAACTGTGTCAGTTACAGTTTCCTTCTTTAAAAAAGAGCTCCTGGATCCACGTTACAGTTCCCATCCGTGTAGACTCACTATAGGTCCTACCACCAGTACAAAATTAGCTTGACAGTGGCCAGCGACTTTGTTGGGGGTGTTCTTTTTTAAATTTCTTTTATTGCCTTTGTAGGCAGACGAGCATACGGCCCACCTGATGGCGAGTGGTTACCGTCGCCCATGGACTTCAGGAATGCCAGGGGCAGAGCCAAGCCGCTGCCTACCGCAATTGCGTGCTCACATTTGGCGTCTGCGCTGCAGGAGTAGGTGGCGAAGTGCGCGGCGAGGCGGTCGGCGGTGGCGTTCCCGTCCGTGAGCAGCGCGTGCCCGACGTCCGTGCCGAAGAACGCGCTGGCCGCCGACCCGCCGCCCTCCGTCACCGCCACCATTTGTATCGGCAGGTTCGGTATGTTCATCGAAAACGCACTGACAATTCATACAATACGATTTATATAATCACTATTTATTTTTATTTATTTATTTATTACAATTCATGTAAAATTTACACTGGTGGACTTAATGCCCAAGGCATTTTCTGCCAGTCAACCAAAGGTAGTGCAGAGTAAATAATGGTAGGTGCAATGAAATTTATATTAAGTTACAAATACATACACAAATAAAGGATACATATACAACATGTAACATATTTAACGCACACCCTCAAACACCCCAATTAGACTTTAATAGTATAAACGCTATGCATACACCAAATATTATTTATATGTGCGTTAACATTGATTATTTGTGAAATTAGTTATTCCAATTTCGTGGAAATAAAATGGTCACCGATTCACACTCCGCTGCGCACGCACACACAGACACA